GGCAGCAGAGGTCACTCTTCAGGAAAGTTACCTCACCTGGCTTCAGGGATACCCGTTGTCTCCCCTCTGAGTCTCCCCTCCTCCCCAGCTGAGACCTGGGCATCTTGCCTACACTGGGGGTGGGGGAAACAGCAGGGGCTCTGAGGAGGCGTCAGGACCTGTTGCTTCAGGCCTCAGTAGAGGTCTGGAGGTTGGTAACTGATGGGATGTGTACAGACAGGCTTTGGGATGCTAGACGCCGCCGTGGCCGCTGGCCAGACTGGACTCGAGTTTTAGCCTGCTAAAAACAGCTAGTGTTTCTCGAACATCAGTGTGTTTCTGTGTACTGTGTACTGGCACAAGCAGTCTCACTGAATTCAGCCACACCATGGGGTAGGGACTACCACCACCTCCACTGAACAGATTAGGAGGCTGGGGCATGCAGGAGTCAGCATGCTAAGCCTAGGCTCTTCTCAGAGCAACACTTTGGGCTCCACTGCAGCTAAAAGCTAGGCAATTTCCTTCCTCTGCCGGTACAACCAACTCTTTTGAAGTGTTCTGGTGAATGGGCTTTACCAGTGCCAGGTAGGAGATTTGGAAGTGCAGTCCTGGGGACTTACAGGGGAGAGCGCTGTAGCCACAGAGAAAACATTCTTGTCTGTTACAGGGCTGAAGGGACAGGGGTGGGACAGAGAAGAAGATGGAGCCTGCAGGTGAGGTCAGGGGCTGGCCACAGCAATGGAAGGGACCTGGGCCAGCCTGGGCTAGGTGGGTTGCAGAGTGTTTTGGGGTCTGTCTCCCTGGCCTGAGAGCTGTCATAGCTGGTTCAGCCCAGAGGCTCCAACACAAGGAAACCGCGCAAGACTGGAAAAGGGTTGTCTGAAAGGCCCAGATAGCCACCCCGACTTGTTTTAAGAACTAGGTCAACCCTCACTCCCTTGAGATCTTCTGTGAACTGCAGTTGCCAGTGCCCATTATCTCTTTAGATATCCAAGTAGAGCCTGATCCAGTATCGAGTGGGAAATAAGAATCTGGGAAAAGATAGGCTGATGGAGGTTTATTAGGGGAGAAATCACCGGAAACAGATGACCATAGCAGATTCCAGTTCCAAGGATGCCTCCAGATGCTCTCTGCCTCCGACCAGGAAGTAAGAGAGCAAGCTGGGGTCCAGGACCCCAGACCTAGTCCCCCAGGTCATGCCAGCACCTGTCTCCCCCCTCCCCTGCCCCAATGGGCGTGGTCAGCACAACAGGTGCGGGAGGGGTGGATATCTCACTACAGTACAGTATTTGAAAACTAAATGTTCCTTGAATGTCTGTCCAGAAAGTAGCTGGCAGAATGTTGGTAAGGCTGGATTGCCCACCCATAGTTTGGTAGGGTGAAAAGGAAGTCCACAGCAAAAGAGGAAAGAGGATCGGGGGAGGGACTGTGAGCCCGGGGCTTCCAGGTTCGGGACCAGTTCCAGACATTAGAACTCCATCTAACCCTCCGGGTGGCTCCGTGAACGCCTGCTGGGATTGATGGACAGGCTGGGATTGATGGACAGGCACCATCACCCAGCTAGCAGAGGAGAGACTAGTGGCCAGGCCATCCATAGAGTCTCTTCTGTCCCCACAGTACAAGCCAGGTAGCGCTTGTCCTGAGAAAGCAGAGAGGGAGGTAGGGGGCAGTGTGGTTCACCTTGCAGAAGGCTGAGGATGCCTGAATGTTAGCAGTGGCTCAGCGCTGACTTGCACGGGGCCAGTGGGGAGGGGGGTCCTGTGACCTTGGGGGCCTGCCTGTCCCTCCCTCATGCCATGTCTCTGTCTGGGCAGGAGGATCTGAGGGCTAAAGAGGGAATGCTGTGTTGCCTTGGTATCTTGTATACAGCTCCTTTGTGAAAGGAATTCTTCTCGATGCAACACATCTAACTCAGAAAAATGACCCACTGGGGTTTCATCATTACACAGAAGAATGTGTGTAAGCCTTGCGTGTGTGAACGCTTTGCTTATTTGTATTTGAGGACTGGGGTGGGGCACAAACTACCTTTGGCAGCCATGGGGATTAAGAGGACATTTGGCAGCTCCTGCATTTTGGGAAAATTGTCTCCCAGCATGCAGTTCCCACTTCTGGTTTCCCCTCCTCTAGGCTCAGTTAGTAGATGGAATGCTATTGCTACACACAGGTTGTCATGGCATCTGAGCCTGACTATTGTTTGAGATGGTAACCTGTGGGTCAAAGCTAAGAGCAGGGCCACTGCATTCGGGGTAAGTAGGTAGCTCCAGCCACAGTGCAGCCCTCCACAGCCCCTGGACTCCCAGTACACTGCTGATTTCTGGAGCTGGTATCCATGGAAACCTCCATCTGTTTGGACTTAAGTGTCTGTTTTCCAGTGTGGCTTGGGGTCTGTATCAGGGTTGATCTGTACTTTCTGCCAAAAGGCCTAACTCCCAGGACCTCCGGATGGGGCCCTCTGTGGAAACAGGGCCATTGTAGATATAATTAGTCAAGATGAGGTCCTCCTGGAGTAGGGTGGGTACTGAGGGCCAGCAGCAAGTAGGCCCCTGATTCAGTCTGACCAGGATTCTTTTAAGGAAGACAAACTCAAGGAGCAGGTTCTGAGAAGATGCACTTTGAAGGGGCACAGATAGAAGCCACCAAATGTACAACTGTCCCTAGAACCCCAGAAGCTTAGAAAGGGCTAAAAAAATTGCTGGTCAGACTTCAGAGGGGACAAGCCCCTGCGAACTATTGAGGACGCCATCACCTCCTGTTGTAGGCGGTGAGGTAAGAGAAAACCTTGTGTCCAGGCTCTTCCTTCTACTGCCTGGGTTCTGAGAACAGCACTCAGGTCGTCAAGCAAATGCTTTCTGCCCACTGAGCCATTTCACTAGCCACGGGGACTACCATTTTATAGATGGCGATACCAATGTCAAGAAATTCCAGAAATGGGGCTGGAGAGGTGGCTCAGCAGTTAAGAGCATTGTCTGCTCTTCCAGAGGACCCAGGTTCAATTCCTAGCATCCACAGGATAGCTCAGAATTAACTGTAACTCCAGTTCCAGGGGCTCTTATGCCTTCATACCGATGTACATAAAATAAAGTTAAATTAATTATTTTTTAAAAGTTAGAAAAACAAAAGAGAAGACAGGCCAGAAATACCAACACATCTGTGTTTATTGCGGCTCTGTTCACAGTAGCCCGGTAACGGGATGCACCAGATGCTCATCAACATCTGCACACAAGGGGGTTTATTCAGCTTTAAGGAAGAACAGAATGATGCCATAAGTAAATGAACGGAAGCTGGGCAATGGCGACAGGCCTTTAATCCCAGCACTTGGGAGGCAGAGGCAGGCGGATCTCAGTCCTGAATTCGAGGCCAGCTAGGTCTACAGTGCGAGTTCCAGGACTGCCAGGGCTACACAGACAAACCCTGTCTGGAAAAACCTCAAAAGCCCACCCCCAGTGACACACCTCCTCCAACAAGGCCACACCTCCTAATCCTGCCAAATAGTCCACCAACTGGGGGCTGAGCAAGCAAATGTGTGAGTCAGTGGAGGCCATTCCCATTCATACTGGCAGGTAGCAAGCTAGAAGGCAGCGCTCCTCCACGCCTTCTGCTTCCAGCTTCCTGCTCTGATTTAAGCTGCAAACTTTTGATGTTGGTGTTTAATCGCATTAGTGAAAATGAAACGAGGATGACTCGGGCCTAAAGAGGGGGCTGCTGGGGCTTTACCTCATGGCCCGAAGAATATGAACACGACCTCTGCCACCCCAGGAAGGCGGATGGAAAGTTAGACCACAGAGGGAGGAGGATGGAGAGTTCTGGAATCTCTGTGTCTGTCGGGGTCTCTGATGGAGCATTGGTGCCTGGGGGCTCATTTGGGAAGACTCAAGGAGGCAGCTGTGATTCCCATTCAGGAACTCCACAGCCGAGTGGGAAGAAACCAGTTGCCTCAGGACCCCGAGACAGGGTAAACTGCTTGGCACCTTAGAGAAAAAAGAGACCAAATGTGACAAGTTTTGAAGCTTGTTAGCGGGAAGGGCTTCTCAAGGTGCCTGAGCCACTGTCAACCAAGAGTGGTCTTCTGACTTCCAAATTAACCATGCGAGCCCAGGCATTGAGGTCCCTGTCAGCTGCTCTGGCTCACCTCAGACAGAGTCAGGGAAGCCAGTCCATGGGAGCCTGCGCTCTGACTGAGCTGTGGTACCTCCGGGACAAGGGGCCACAGCTGACCCAGCAGCCACCTGGCATTCATTCCTTCCGTTTCTACCCTTCCTCCCCCAGCCCCTCCCCGCTGTCCTTTCCCCCTCCTATCTCCTGGCTGAGTCTTTTTGCCTCCTGGCCCCTTTGACTTCCCTTGTGCCAAGGAGGCTCCAGACGAAGGCCCTGAGAAACAGCAGCCTGTGCTCGCTCACTCTGAGCACATTCTATGCTCAGGCACCTCTCCCTCGGTGTCTGGGAGTTGCCTGGCTTTAAGGAAGTCCATAGGTCGAAGTGTAAAGCCTCCCCTTCCACGGCAGAGGACCGCCTCTGGAGTGTGCTTTTCTCCCAGTGCGGGATATCGTCAGCAGACTATTCTAATGGGCTTAAGAGAGAGAACCACCCAAGCATTGCTGGTCTGGACAGGGCTAGAGAGAGATGCTTGTGATGATTCTGCCTTTGGAAGGCTTTTAATTCTTCCCGACATAACCTTCTTACGCCTGTGTAAACATCTTGACATCGCAGGCTGGGTGATAAACCTATGTTTTGTATACCGACCCTCCCCAGGATACGTGGCCTCTGGTTAGCCATATGAATCGGTAGAATAACTGCGGGAATCATTGAAGCCTCCGGGTCACACCAGGTAGTGCGGTTTGCACTGGGGTGAAGGGCTTGCTGCCACTCTCTGCTGTGGCACAGAGCTCAGGCATCACCCTGCTTCTCTGTTACACTAGTCTTCCCATCAGAGCTGAGTACAGCCTCTGATTCCCCTGGGAGGAGTGTGACTCCCATCTACTGATGTCCACCTGACCCCTGGTCCCTTTGGTTCTCTCCTCTAGACTGTAAATTCACCTGCCACCCCGAGTGCCGCAGCCTGATCCGGCTGGACTGCAGACAGAAAGAGGGCCCTGCCCTGGATAGACGCTCTCCAGAAAGCACCCTTACCCCGACCTTCAACCAGGTAAGCAGGGGAGCCCGCAGGCGAGGCTGGAGAGCAGCCCCTGTGGGGGGGGGGGCATCATTCCATAGATACAGGCCGTTCTCTGTCTAGAAGGAATCTCAGACAACCCTTCCATGGTGGTCTGGGGAAAGAGATGGGGGGGGGGGAACTCTGCCATGTAGCTTTCTCCGTGCAGTTTGTTTGGCCCAGGGCTCTGATCCAGGTACAGGTGTAGGTGGAAGCCAGGTGAGTACTAGAGAAGTTTCTAGAAGGCCTGATGGGCCTGAAGCTCCACACTCCATCTTGCCTTTAGATCATAGATCCTTCCAGACTTCTCAGACCAGCCTTCAAAGGGGTTGGGCAAGTACTCTTTCTCGGCCAGAAGCAACGGGAGTGTGGCGTCCTCAGCAGCTCAGGATTCTGAGTTTTGCAAAGCAGACGGATAGCAGTGCATCTGAACCGTGATGGTTAGGGTTTGGGTGCAGACAGAGGACAGTGTGCATTGATTACTGTGCTAAACATTTATGGATTATATAACATGTACCAAGTGCTGCTAAGGGTGGGCGTGATAAATGTTGACATCAAAGGGTCCACAGAGAGCTTACATTCTGCTTGGGGGTTGTAATAGGACTGACTGGTATATGCTGGGACATGTCTGTAGTATCAGACTGGTGTTTTGTGCACATAGTGTAATTGTTTCTGCTAAGAGAAAATAAAATCAAGGAAGGCTTTCCCAAGGAGGTGACACCTGACATGGGCCTTTCCCTGCAGGCTGAGGAAGTAAAGTGTGTCCTAGGATATTACCCATTTATTACTTTAACAAGGGTGTAAGTGCCCAGTGTATCCCAGGCCCAGGAACATGGGGGACTTGGTGATACAGTTAAGAAAAATGGCTCTTTCCTGTCCTGTGCTTACAGCAAGGTAAGGAAGGGACAAACTCCCACCCTGAAGAGGGAAAAATACCCAGGCATAATGGAGGAGTCTAGCAGCCCCAAGTGCCCACAGCTTGCACGCATAATGCTCTGTGGGACTCCTTGCCCATTCCCAGTTCCCCTGCTGTCTCGATGTTTTCACCCATGGAAAAGCATTATTAGAACACAAGTGTGATACGTACTTTTGCAAGGACGATATCAAACTGATCCTAAATTGTGCACTGAAAACTTTGACACTCCTTCTTCAGTCTTTGGAATCATGGCTGCTCTAGAATAGCCCGCAACCAGGTCTCTGGGCACAGCCTGGCCCACACATGACTCGGGAAGCTCTGAGGAGCGATATTTCTGTCTTGTGTTTTTTCTGGTGCTGGCGGTGGAACCTGAACCCTGCTAGGCTGGTGCTTTGAGTGAGCTCTGCCCTAGGCATTCAGTTAATGAACATGCTCTTAAAAGATTGGGGGGGGGGATCAGAGAGCACACATTCCTGAAAGCATATTTAAACATCTTTCCAGTTTCTCTTTCTCTTTGGGGACTATCTGGTCTCTTTCTGCTCCCAACCCTACCCACAAACTCCATCCTGGAGCCCGGTTCCCCACAACTGGATCTGCTTCCTGGGGTCTCTCCATGCCGCCCTTAGAACAGCAGGCTGCAGAAGGAGCTGATTTGCCCCCTCCCCCAAGGCATCTGGCCATATCTAGAGTTGGTTTGGGTTGTCAGCTGGGTGGGTGCTCCTGGGAGCCAGCTGAGCACTCTGCGTATTGCTGTTTGACCCCCAGTTGGTCACAAATGTCAGCCACGCTGAGGTGGTGAAGCCTCTAGGCTGCGGGCCCACACCCAGGGATGCAGATAGAGCCTGGGAAGGGCACAGGTTTGTCACACACAGTCTCCTTAGAGCGATGGCCAGGAGGGATGCTTTCCAGCGGCACATCAGACAACAGAGCTCTGTCCTCCTTGCCTCCTCACAGGAAGAGGGGTCCGAGAGCCCTCTGGCTAACTGAATCAGAGCTGTCTATCACAGAAACAGGCCTGTAACATCACAGAGCTATAAGAAAGCCCCACACGGTGCTAGTGGCCCCGGGCAGCTTGTGTGGGTCCAGGTTGCTGGAGTGTTGTGGCCTGTGCCTCGGACAGGCTTAATCCTAGTAGCTTTCAGTAGAGTACCCCCCCCCAATGTGGGGAAAGCCAGGCTCTGATCCAGGTGCCCCCACCCCAACACACACCAAGCAGCCCGTTCATGCTGATTTCTGGGCTTGGATTCTGTTACATGTGAAGATGGCATGGCTTTCCTTCACCCGGCTGTTGTTAACCTGGCTGAACTAACCCCTTGCCGTCTTCCTGGGGATGTATTGCGGCAGAGGCTTAGGCCTGGGCTCCACTAGGTGTGAGGGCCCATGTCTATTGTGAGGTCTCATCCTGGTGACACTCCCCTTTTTGCTTCTAAGGGAAAGTAGATTTTTCAACAGCGGGACAGGAGCAGTCTCATATGAATGTGCATGTATCCTCTTTGTACGTACGTGTGTGTGTGTGTGTGTGTGTGTGTGTGTGTGTGTGTGTGTGTGTGTGTGTGTGTGGCACTGGGGATCGAACCTGGAGCCTTGTGCACTCACACGAGGCATTCACAATCCACCACTGAGCTGCAACTCCAGGCCCTTCATGCATTTTTCAAAAATAAGACGGAGCTCATCCTAAAGATAGGATTTGGCCTTTACCTCCCTGAAAACAGTAATGGCCAATTTCTGGCTGTCTCAGCAGAGGAAGGAAGAAAAGAAGGCAGATGTGGGAAAGAGCCTGGGCTGCAAACTGGGTCCCATCCCCGAGGAAGGCACTGATAGCTGGCTGCTTTTGCTAGCCAGAAGATCAGTGGTTTCACACCCTTCCTCAGCGATCCTGAAGCCTGATGATGCTTTTCCCTTGGGTGTACCCTTCGTGGGTTCAGACACGCCTCCTGCAGGCCTGCCCGGGTCCTGGCTCCAGCTTCGGCCTGTTTGCCAGAGAATGCCATGCCAGTTGTTAGTTGAGGGGTCAGGACAAATAGCTGGAACAACTGTGGTTGTTTCATTTGGGGGCATCCTGGGGCGTTTTATATATTTCCGGTGGCTTTAAGGGTGCTCTTATTATGTCACTCAGAGATGAAAGCCCTCAGTGGCTTCCCAGCGAAGGAGCCCATCGTCTCCGTTGCTTCTGTGAAAGCCCGGGCTCGAGAAGATGCTGCGTTTAGCTTACCCTCTGATTTTTATTCTACTGTGCTCTCCAGGACCAGACAGCTCTGGCCCTCTGGCTGTTGACACACTTTTCTTGAGCGTGGAACATGCAGATTCCATTCCCCAGGGCTGGTATTTTCCTCTACCCAGTAGACTTCGGAGTCTCCCCCCGCCACACCCACCCCGCCAAGGCCAACCCCTCCCGTGCCAGTTCCCAGCATTCTCTCGGCATGATCATGCTTGGGATCATCCTGGCCTTATTCCACACGACTTCTATTTCATTTCTCTTTACATACAAGCATGTTAAGCATTTATTCATATCGTTTGCGGGGAGAGGGGCATGTGTACATTGAAGGTATGTATGTGCACACATAGAGCCCAGAGATCAACTTTGGGTGTTGTTTTCGGCTGTCCCTTTGTGTTTTGAGACCATCTTTCCCTGGAACCTGAGGCTCGCGGATTACTCGAGGCTGGCAGTGAGATCCAGGGCTCCACATCTCAAGTGCCGTCGTCACGAGCCTGTGCACAGCACCCAGCTTTTTATGTGGTTTTTGGGATCAACCCTTTGGAGTGGGTGAAAGTTCACTCACTCATCTGACAATCAAATGTCAGATGCCCCAAGAGGGGGGACAGATCACTTCCTTCTGAGACCTGCTGTCCTAGAGGAACAGAAGCCACATTCAGGTCCCCTCATGTTCGTGTGGCAAGCGCCACTGTTGAGTGCATACCCACCCCAAGGGTTCATCTTATTGATCCTGAGGTCTCAGTCATCTTGCCTCTGAGTAGGTGACCCTGTCCCCATCACCCAACAGACAAAAGACTTTCATAGCTCCAGAGTGGATGGGCCTGGCCTTTCAACACAGCAGGTCTATTTCCTTCCTATCTGCATTCCCACCCCAAACCCTGACGGTCACCCCCCTCAGTTAAGCCCCATAGCAGCTTAGAACTGGATCGCCCGGCTCCTGGCCTTGAACTACCTCCCACAGCACGCTGACTCTGGTCCAGGCCTTCCCTTTCCAGGAAGTACCACTGTCTGTGTTGAACCCAGAACCACCACACGGGGGAGCCAGAGAGGTGAAGAAGAGAGTCTGAAGTATCTAAGGCTATTTTTTGCTTTATTTGGTTTTTTTTTTCCTTTTTTTTTTTTTTTTCAGAATGTGAAAATGTATTACTATGTTTTTCAAGTTGTTTTACGTTTTAGGCTTTTTATATAACCTATTTTAAGTACATTCTTTGCCCTCCTCCAAGCTTAACAAGGGCATGTACCGCTCGCTCCCTTACAAAGATTCCTAGTGGATTTGCTCATTTCAGCTGAGGGTTGCATATTCCTGGTGTGTGACATGGCGCTGGTGATGGGCCTAGGGCCTTCAGCATGCTAGACAAGGGTTCTGTCACTGAGCTACTTGCCCAGCCCTTGATTTGTTTGTTTGTGAGAAAAGGTCTCAATTTGGAGTCCCATTGACCTGGAATTCTTAACCCTCCTGCCTCAGCCTCCAGAGTCCTGGAATTAAGCTGCTTTACCCAGTTATACGACCCAATGTGTAGTTCCATTGGTGTGTACAGTTTTAGTATTATTACGTTCTTATAATTGACCCCCTTACCACTGGGAAGTAGTTGCCTTTATTCCATGACATTCCATGAACTGATATTAGCATAGTTGCTGATTTTTTTTTTCTTTGTGGTGCTGGGAATGCTGGGAATTGAACTTAGAGCCTCACACATAGTAAGCAAAGTACTTTACCGCTGAGCTAATATTCCCAGCCTTGTACTTTCTTTGAATTACTATAAGCTTACTATATCTTTTTCCTTTATTTTATTTTATTTTTTTTAGCTATTTACTTTTTGTGCATGTGTAGTTGCTCGCGTGTGTCTGTGAGGTTTGTTGTGC